TGTTGAAAATGTTTGACTCATGTTCGCTTAGACCATCCTCTGTGAATTATTAGGTAAAAATACAAGACGCCGCGATCAGTTGGAATTTCACTTAAAGAGCGAATGATTCTTAGTCCAAGTGTGTGCCAAATACTGTACTGGACATAGGAAAAACGGAACAGTTTTCTGGTGTTTGTCTACAATTCTAGTTTAACCGGGCGTCCTGCATTCTTGTTTACTAAACTTAGCCACCCTACTGCAGGAAGTGAAGGCAAGGATTCCTGCTGAATGGCCAGAGCTTTTAGGATAGAGGCTGTGACTGCCTTACACTTCGTAGTTTAGAATATCGGCGGCTTCGGGACCCGCAGTGGAAGGGACCTGCGGCTGTGCCGCCCACGCCTGCGCGGCTAATTCCTGGCTGTGCTGCCGGCTCGCGCCTCCGCGCCTGCCACTGCGCACTGGGCGGGAGAGTCTGTCTCCCTATCTGCTTAATCTGGGAACTTATATCAGTTTTGCAAGATTCCAGGAACCTCAAGTTTAACTTTCCAGATCAAGCTGGACACCCCTCCTGAAGGCCCTAATCACAGGCTGTTAAATATTTGACAGCTCGTTGAGGCCCTGCAGTGTTTTTTTTCTGCGTATCCCTGGGGTCAATATAGCACCTTGCCTACTTAGCACACAGTAGGCACTCCATAAATATGGCGTGACTAGGTGCTTCATCCGTGTTGAAACGAAATGTTTATTGTGCACTTACTTCCTCCGTGCATGTTTCTATTCATAGTTCGCGACAGATTTTACCGAGGTCAACCAGAAATTGAAGGGGAAGGGTGCCTTCCAGAAACACTTTTATTTGGTAGGATAGGGGGTAATATTTCAGAATGCACCTCCTACCTCCTCTCACTATCCAAGAAAACATTTTCTTGTGTTCAGTTGGAGTTCCTTCAGTAGTAGTGAAGTAAATGGTTTGGGTATGACAGTTTTAAGTGCTGGACCTGAGATGAAAGGACTTGCTTTCTTAGTTGATAAACCAAATACAGCTTGCTGATTGATTCCACCAATGCTCTTCCTTAGGGCTAGGCCAGCGCTGCCTAACCTTTCTGGTTTAGGCTTCAGGAACTCAACTTCCTTTTATCTTAAAGCTTCACCCTCCTCTCAGGTTGGCTGCAGTCTTCCTAGCTCGCTGCCCCTAACTCCTTCCTGAGTTAAGCGCGCAGGACTTTTTGTTTTAAAGGTTTCCTTGCTAATCTATTGGGAAGCAAGGAATAATAGATTGTAAACATTGGGTAGGTTATAATGTTATAATGTTTAGTTCCTGTCTCTTACTCTTCTTTGTTGTTACTGAACAAACTGATGTTTGCTGTAGCTTCCTCACTCTAGGTGTGCTGATACCATAATAGTTCCCCCTTACTGGGGTGGACATGTTTCAAGACCCTCAGTGGATGCCTAAAACCTCGGATAGTACTGAACCGTATACATGCTATTTTTCCTATACATACATGCCTGTGATAAAGCTTAATTTATAAATTAGGCAGAGTAAGAGATTAACAACAATAATAAAAGAACAACCACTTTAATAACAAAATGCTCATTTCAAGGAATCCCTTGCTGAATCTTCTTCTAGGCCCAGTGCTGTTTGGCGTAACACACTGCTGTCAGTTGGAACACTTTTTCTGTTCTTGCCTCCACAAATTCAATACCTTTTTCTGGCTTGACTAAGCACTTATACCCTGTGGCTGTAACTTGCAGTTTGAGATGTGACATCAAAACTACCATGAATTTTTTACTTCTTTACAACTGCACTGATAGAAGATCTGTTCTTACCATAGACCTTAGTAACCTCAGCATGCGATTTTTTTTTTTTTTTTTCTTATTAAGTGGAGAACTTTCACCCTTTCACTTGAAGAAAGCACTTTAGGGCTTCTCTCTTTGACATACCTGAATTGCCAGCATCACTACTATAGTGGTTTGGGGCCATTATTATTATTATTATTAAAGATGGAGTTTCACTCTTGTTGGAGCCATTAAGTAAAATAAGTGTTACTTGGACACAAGCATCACCAGACTGTGACAGTCGATCTGGTCACCAAGACAGCTGTTGACTAAAGGGTGGGGAGCTTATAGAGGGTCCATGTGCTGGACAAAGGGAGGATTCATACCCTGGGTAGGAGGAAGCTAGATGGCTCAAAATTTCATCATGCTACTTAGAACTTAAAACTTACCAACTATTTTCTTCTGAAATTTTCCATGTAATGTTTTTGGACCATAGCTGACCTTGGATAACTGAAACCGTGGATAAGGGGAGACTACTGTGTAGGGCAGATGTTCATTATCCAAGGATAAGATGTAATGGAAAAAGCTATTTAAAGTGGATTCACTTAAAATAAGACTAATATTTCAGGCCAGGCGCGGTGGCTTACACCTGTAATCCCAGCACTTTGGGAGGCCAAGGTAGGTGGATCATCTGAGGTCAGGAATTCGAGACCAGCCTGGTCAACATGGTGAAATCCCATCTCTACTAAAAATACAAAAAATTAGCCATGTGTGGTGGTACATGCCTGTAGTCCCAGCGGCTCGGGAGTCTGAGGCAGGAGAATCGCTTGAACCTGGGAAGTGGAGGTTGCAGTGAGCCAAGATCACGCCACTGCACTCCAGGCTGGGTGACAGAGTGAGACTCCATCTCAACAAAAAGACTAATATTTCATGCTATCCAGTTTAAAAAATTTTGCTTGGGACTTTTGCAAAAATTAAAACATAAAAAGTAGCTTTACCTTTATATTTAAGAACACTTAAATTTTAAATGCACCCCCCATGAATACACTATTGATTTGAAGGCAGAATATTTGAGTTTTATAACCTAATCATAACAGTTTTTTAAATATCTGAAGTTTCAAAAATTCTCTTATTCTTTAGATATTTGAGTAACTCTCTTTTGAAACATCTATTATATCTCATAATCCTGTTGTAAGATTTGTAATTTTACTCTGCAGTTAGTTTGCATCATGGTGTTTGATATTGTTCCAACAGTGCAATAGGGCCTGGTTGACCAAGAAAGATGAGTGGATGGGGAAGGAAAGGTTCCAGGGATAAAAAGATTTCAGGATGATAAACTGGTTGAGTTTTTTTTGTTTTTTAGTGATAATTTTCCTGACAATGAATGCTTCCTTTTACAAGCTCCCAACAGCGAGGTTTTGGATAATAAATACTGAGAGATTCTGTATTCAGGAAATTCTAGTAGTAATGTCAAACATTATTGAGCATTTACTGTGTGGAAGGCACTTACCTGCTTTCTGCATATGAATTCATTTAATCTTCACAAAATCCTTTGAGAGGTGCCAGTGATAATTGTTTCCACTTTGCACACTAGGAAATTTGGAGCTACGGCCCCTTGCGGTTGAGATACCGTAGCTTCCTCAAAAATCTTTGAAGGTTCCCTGCTTCACAGTGTGTTCCTAGAGTTTTGGCATGTTTTACTCAGAAAGTAGAAACTATATTTTTAAACCAATGGTCAGGTCACACGGCGTAGGATGGAATATTTGAAATTTTCCAGTTATAAATAAGAGTGTGTCAAACTTTAAACACAGTAAATATGATTTTATCAAATAATTAAGGATGTTGGGAAGCTAGTTACATAAGCACACAGACCTTTTTGGTTTTGGTGAAACAAACACTTTGTAAATTGACATTTTATACTGATAATAAGTAAAAAATTTTTTCTATTTTGTAAGTTTGGCTATGTTTGTAAGTTTTTTTTTCAAATAGAACTTGTGGTAAATTATCTTTAATGCTTAATAAACTACATTGTTCTTTTAAATTCCTTTTAGAATGGAGAGCAACACATCATCATCTTTGGAGAATTTAGCAACGACGCCTCTGAACCAGATCCAAGTGAGTGATGTGGGAGATGATTGAAGAACTTTCTTCTGTAGAGAAAGAATTGTCCCCTACATATTTAATATGCTTATTCAGTATCCAAACTTGAGATAGTTCAGCAAATGAATTAAGAGGTTCATATTTATTTAAAAGTCTGCTATGAAAATCATCCTTGTGACTAAGAAGTCCTAGATCATTTTGGTAATTAAAATGTATGAGATTTATTTTTAATGAAGTCTTCACTCCGTCTAAGTTGGATAATGAGGTTGGCTGCTCCTTTTCATCATAGCCACTTGAGATCCAGTGTTGATACCAGTCAAGCTGCCCTTAGCTAGGGATCCTATTTGATTTTGGCCTGGGCAGCAGTTTAACAGTTTTCTTTGTTAGTACAGAACCTACTATGCAGTAGTTACTCCATAAACCATCCTCTCAGGGATAGGACTTCTTTTCCTTTTTCTTTTACTGAGAAGCTTCGTTAATTCTGCCTTAGAAAATCTCCCTTACATGTATGTTTTTCTTCGCTTGCAACCTACAAGATACATCGATTTTTTCTTTCTTGCCTACCACTCACTACTACCACAAACAAAAAAAAAATTTCTGCCTTTAGTTGATTTGGCGAAACTCCTAGCTATTGCTATAACTGTGAGGGAATTGCTTTTTTGTTTTGTTTTGTTTTGAGGCAGAGTCTCGCTCTGTTGCCCAAGCTGGAGTGCAGTGGCGCGATCTCAGCTCATTGCAACCTCTGCCTCCTGGGTTCAAGCAATTTTCCTGCCTCAGCCTCCCTAGTAGCTGGGATTACAGGCACCCGCCACCACACCCAACTTATTTTTGTGTTTTAGTAGAGATGGGGTTTCACCATGTTGGCCAGACTGGTCTTGAACTCCTGACTTCAAGCAGTCTGCCTGCCTCAGCCTCCCAAAGTGCTGGGATTATAAGCATGAGCCACCATGCCTGGCCTGAATTGCCTGTTTTAAAGTAAAATTACAACATCATGGAATATACAGTAAGGGTGAGCTTGAGAAAAAGTCAGAAGAGGGTTCTAGAAACCCTAACACTGTCGTCTTTAGTTTCAGCTCACTTTGGAAACTCTTCAACCATGTCTAATATATGTCAGAGCCCTGGAAGCTCATCTCTCCCTACACGATGGTGTCAGCGTGTCTGTAACCTGAGGCAGCATGGTGGAGGGAAGAGCACTGGCTTTGGTGTTGTAACCAGGTTGAGTCAAATCCCAGTATTGCAAACCACTCAGCCTTGGTTTTGTCCTCCGTAAGATGGATTCATTAATACATCTCTGGTATGGCAGGCCCTCCCTAGGATAGACTTTTATACTGAATATTATTAGTAAACACAAGGGAAGCATAAAAATAGACCAACTTGCAGACAGCTGCGCTAAACTCAGGGCCTTTCTGACACCCAAGGGTGGGTATAACTTCTGAAGCATGGGTCTTATACTTTCTGGTTTTTGGCCTTCATCTTGAAGGTGCTGCTTATGATCCACCACAGGCCAGGCACAGTGGCTCATGTCTGTAATCCCAGCACTTTGGAAGGCCAAGGCGGGTAGATTACTTGAGCCTAGGAGTTCAACACCAGCTTGGGCAACAAGGCGAAACCCTGTCTCTACAAAAAATATCCAGGTGTCATGACATGTGTCTGTAGTCCCAAACACTTGGCAGGCTGAGGTGGGAGAATCGCCTGAGCTCAGGAGGTTAAGGCTGCAGTGAGCTGAGATCGTGCCATTGTACTCCAGCCTAGATGACAGAGTGAGACTCTGTCTCAAAAAACAAACAAACAAACAAACCTAGACAAATGTCTGAGTGCTAAATCTATCCATTCAAAATCTTTTGAAGGACCCAGGCATTCCTGTGTTTAGAAACAAAAAACAAAAACAAAAACTTCATAGGCTGTGTAGATGCATAGCAGAGTCTCATAGCCATTGTGGTAAAGGCCTGGAGGGTAGTTTTCAAACCAGGCTGATGTCGTAATTATATGGAGAAGTTTTTGAAAAAATACAGTTTTCAACTTCTACCTCAAACTCATTGAATCAGCATTTCTGGAAGTAGTTTTTCCTGAATTAAGAGTATGAGAATACCTTATCAATAGAGTAATGACAGCTTTTGTACTATAAAGGTATATAGGAGGGGATAGAAGTAGAGGGGTAAGCCTTACATTTTAAGAAGAAATCATATACCATTCCTTACCATTGAAAGTTATAGAATAGAAGGTAAGGAGTTAACTCCTGAATACCTACTGAATATTTGAAAAGAAGTATGTTTTGGGGCCAGGCGCGGTGGCTCACACCTGTAATCCCAGGACTTTGGAAGGCTGAAGCGGGTGGATCACCTGAGGTCAGCAGTTTGAGACCAGCCTGGCCAACATGGTGAAACCCTGTCTCTACTGAAAATACAAAAATTAACTGGCCATGGTGGCAGGTGCCTATAATCCTAGCTACTCGGGAGGCTGAGGCTTGAGAATCACTTGAACCCAGGAGGCGCAGGTTGCAGTGAGCCGAGATCTCGCCACTGAACTCCAGCCTGAGGGACACAGTGAGACTTTGTCTCAAAAAAAAAAAAAAAAAAAAAAAACAGAAAAAGAAGTACAATGTTTTGGTTTTTTTTTTTTTTTTTGAGACAGAGTCCACTTACTGTGTTCCTCAGGCTGGAGAATCACTGGAACCACCTCCCTGGTTCCAGTGATTCTCCTGCCTCAGCCTCCTGAGTAGCTGGGTTAACAAGCATGTGCCACCATGCCCAGCAACTTTTGTGTTTTTGGTAGAGATGGGGTTTCACCATTTTGGCCAGGCTGGTCTCGAACTCCTGACCTCAAGTGATCTGTCCACCTCAACCTCCCCCAGTGCTGGGATTACAGGTATGAGCCACTGCATCCAGCTGAAAAAGGAGTATAATGGAGATTAAATATCTGGACTGTAGAGCCAGATTTGCCTGGGTCTAATCCCAGCTCTTCCACCTATTAGCTGAGAACCATGAACAAATTGTTGATCTTTATCTGTACCTCACTTTCCTCATCTGTGTAGTGGGGACAATAAGAGGACCTACCTCAGGATTGTAGTGAGGTTTAAATAACCCAGTGAAGATAAAAGTGTTGAGAATAGTACTTGGCACACAGAAATGGTTGCTGTATATGAATTGGCTATGATTATTATTTATTGTTACTGCTCTATGCCAGGCACTTTTTATTACATCTTTTTTCCTAATAACATTGCTTTGAAATGAAAAATATCCTCAATCTGCAGATGAGAAAAAATAGATGATGCTTAGTTTGAGCCCGGAATCATGAGACCAAAATCCATACCCTTTCCATTATATCCTAATTTCTTTCCAATTGGTAATGTCTAGAATTAAAGTGATTTTTTGTGGTTTTATTTCAGGAAACAATTTCTGATAACTGTGTGGTGATTTTCTCAAAAACATCCTGTTCTTACTGTACAATGGCAAAAAAGCTTTTCCATGACATGAATGTTAACTATAAAGTGGTGGAATTGGACCTGCTTGAATATGGAAACCAGTTCCAAGATGCTCTTTACAAAATGACTGGTGAAAGAACTGTGAGTATATCCTCTGTGGTGCTGTTCCTCTTTAATAGGTTGTAAACCGGATCACCCAGAGCCTAGACCCTTGTGTTTGGAAAATGAGCCAGACATTCTCTGAGGATAGAAAAAGCAGCTGCAGATCTAGGAACCAGATTCTTAGAACAGGAAACAGCAGAGTTGATTTATTTTTATTCTGTGTGTGTGTTTTGATTGGGGTTGATGAGTAGCATTATTATGAGTGCTTGTCTATGGATCTTTGAGTTCCTCTTGGAGCTCTTTGCAAGATAAAAGTATTCTTCCTCCCTTTACCTGGGCAATACAGGGGTTGGTCTTCAGTTACTTTTCTAATAGGAATGCTTTAGTGCTCCATGTTTTTAGATTCTTGAAATTTGGATTTTTCCATAATATGCATAATCAGAAAAATGTGCAGTGTTGCCACTTTCAAGTTTATTGAAAGAAGTTTATAGTGCACTCTTTCCCTTCAGTAAACAAATGTAAGAAAATAACTAAATATTATTAGTTTATCTGCTTTAGTTTATCTTTTACATACCATGGTGATTAGGAAGAAGGGTTTTTAGAATCAGATTGTTTTGGATTTGAATCGCAGTCTGGCTTTTACCATCATTGTGATTTTGCACAAGTTCCTGTGCCTCATTTTCCTCCAAAATAGGGCTAAAAATAATACCTACCTCAAAGGGTAAAGATTTTAAGATTTAATTTGTGAAAGAGCTTTGTGGTGCCAGGCTCATAAAAGTACCCAGAGTTCAAATGTCTATTATTATATGAAATCTTAGTTCTGATACTAGAGTGAAGCCTAATTCTTCTTTTGTTTGTCCAACAGGTTCCAAGAATATTTGTCAATGGTACTTTTATTGGAGGTGCAACTGACACTTATAGGCTTCACAAAGAAGGAAAATTGCTCCCACTAGTTCATCAGTGTTATTTAAAAAAAAGTAAGAGGAAAGAATTTCAGTGATGTTTATCCTAATAAGTTTGCTAGTACGGTGTCAGTTAAAGTGGTAATGCCCAATAATGTCTTTTAAATGTTTGAGGATGTTTTAAATACATGCATTGTCTTCATGAAGATGTAAAAATAATGAACAATAAATTGCAGTGGAAACCTCTTCTTCCCACCTGCCAATTCTTGAGAAAAAGGGATGATATTTAAAAAATGAAAGGTTGGAGTTGTATCAAGATAAGGAAAGAATGTATTTTCTTAGGAATTTATGTATGAATTTTATAACCAAGAGCTAGAAGGTAAGCATTTGGAATTCTTTATTTCCTATTCAGGAGTTAACTCTTTATCTACAATAGTTTTTAAGTGGTAAGGACTGATGTGTGATTTCTCTTTAAAATTTAAGGCTTTTGCTGATACACTTGTGAACTCGGCAGGAATATCTTGTACGATATTGTGAAAAGCCTTCACACTTTGTACTTGTAGAGTAATAGAAGTATATTAAATTTTTAGCATGGAATGAAATTTATCTTAGAGAAACTAAATTACTCATTTAATGACTTAATAGTTCCAGGGAACAAAACTATACCTATGGGCAGAAATTAAAAGGAGATGATTTCAGCATTGTATGAGGATGAACTTTTGAAACAGTATAGAAATGTACTTCAGTTGGCATGGGATGATAGGCTTACGCCTGTGATTCTAGCACTTAGGGAGGCCGAGGTGCAAGGATCACCTGTGCTCAGGAGTTCGAGATCAGCCTGGTCTACATAGTAAGAACCCCATATTTACAAAAAATAAACAAAAATTAGCTTGTTGTGATGGCACATGCCTGGAGTCCTAGCTACTCAGGAGGCTGAGGCAGGAGGATCTCTTGAGCCCAGGAGTTTGGGGTCATATATATTTTTATATATGTATTATATATAATTACATATATAATATATATATAAATTTTGAGGTTTTATGTATATACACACACACACACACACACACATATATATATATTTTGGAAAGCCCCAAGTGACTCTGTGAGATCAACTCATAATTTATGAGATCTCCACCTCATAAACATTTCATATATATATACACACACACACATTTTTTATATTAAATGTACTTGAATTAGATTGTGAGGTGGAGAGTTCTGCTTTCCAGAATTTATGTGTGTTTTATTTATTTATTTTTTTTTGAGATGGAGTCTTGCTCTGTTGCCCAGGCTACAGTGCAATGGTGCAATCTTGGCTCACTGCAGACTCCGCCTCCTGGGTTGAAGCGATTCTCCGGCCTCAGCATCCCAAGTAGCTGGGATTACAGGTGCCCGCCACTGCGCCCAGCTGATTTTTGCATTTTTTAGTAGAGACGGAGTTTCACCATCTTGGCCAGGCTGGTCTCAAACTCCTGACCTCATGATCCACCTGCCTCGGCTTCCCAAAGTGCTGGGATTACAGGGGTGAGCCACTGCACCCGGCCTCATATGTATTTTAATACATATATATATATATATAAAAATTCTGGAAAGCAGAACTCTCCACCTCACAATTTAACTCAATTTCCAAGAGCCTTTGAACACTTAATGTGTTCAATACTGGGAATACTATTCAAACTGATTTCAATTCAGCTAAACTTAGCAAGCAAGATTTATCCTATAGGAAGTCTTATTTTACAATAATTGAAGACGTTCAGTACTTCATTAGTGAAATCATCTTTCCAGCTTCCTATCAACAAGAATTTTTAAAGTACCTACTATACAAAGCATTTTCCTAGTTGATCTCACAGAGTCAATTGGGCCAGATTACCAGATGCTGAGAAGAAAAAATCCTCCATCAGGGGTAGAAGAAAAATGGATTTCAAAAGTGCTTCTGGTTTCTGTCAGGATGGACCAGAGAATCTGGAACAGTCCTGAAGAATACAGCTGATGGCTTCCTTGGCCTTTTGCCATCAGTGATGCTTCTTGCCTGGATTTAAACTGCCATTAGGAGACCTCTTGATCAAGAATTTAGACAAGAATTTCATTCCCTTGTGATAATTTAGGTTATAGCACTAGAATGGAACAAAAAGTGCAATGTCTTTAGTTCTTTATTTCGCATTATGTCAAAAGAAAGTTCTTGCTATGTTGTTAAAGCTTTGTTAGATTCAGGCTTTTGGGGATTCTGAAAAAAATCTTGACGAGAGTTGAGGAAGTCTATTACCTGAGAAAGGTAAAATCGTGTTATAATTGTTCATCATATTAGATATTAAGGGTAGAGGCAAGTTACTTCAAGGTATAGAAACACCAGTGCTTGACTGTGAAAAACATCTTTACCTTTTTTTTTTTTTTTTTTTTTTTTGTAATTGAAACAGTCTCTTTCTGTTGCCCAGACTGGAGTGCAGTGGCACGATCTCAGCTCACTGCAACCTCCACTTCTGGGTACAAGCGATTCTCATGCCTCAGCCTCCTGAGTAGCTGGGACTATAGGTGAGCACCACCACACTCGGCTGACTTTTTTTATTTTTAGTACAGCCAGGATTTCGCCATGTAGGCCAGGCTGGTCTCAAACTCCTGAGCTCAGGCAGTCCGTCTGCCTTGGCCTCCCAAAGTGCTAGGATTACAGGCATGAGCCACTGCGCCTAGCCTGTGAAGAAACATCTTTTATCAACTCTTCCTAGACTGGTAGGACATAGGGTGAGAGGCGAGTGGTGGGTGGTTCTTGACTATGTTCAGATCTTGAAAGAATTCAGTATTAGGGAGAGAAGCCTTATCATCAAAAGCCTCAAAAACTCTACTGAAGGTAATATGATATCTGATTCTCAGTATGGCTTTATTTAAAATGGAAGAAATAAACCCTACTAATACCTGCCTCTTAGTCTTCTGAACTTAAACTCATTGACTAATAAAAGATTTTTACTTTGGAGGGTTTAGCACTGCATCAAAAAGGAAGCAGATTTCCCCTGTTTGTTAAACGCTAAGGGATGAAATAAAATACAAGAAATCTGACCTCTTTTTGCCATATGGCACATTAAATATCTTTGGAAAAAAACCCAAAACAATAACAAAAAACTTGCCACTCTAAAACGTTTAAAATATTGGACACAATAATACATTTTTAAAAATGCAAGGCTTAGCAGGTTTTAAAAAGTATAGGGACTCTCCAAGAGGGAAACAAAACGAGGAGCAGAATGCAAGGATGTAGGGAAGCACCGAAGCCAGCAGCTCCCTTACTGACACTGCCAATCGTGGAACGCCAACAACTTTAGTTTTGTATGCAACAGGCTGGTTACAAAGCTAGGGGTTAAGGGAGAAGGATATAGATGGGAGACCACAGCATAACAGCACTAAACCTTCAGTTAAAAAAAAAAATCGTAACATACTTTCAGAGCATAGCTGATGATTTGTCAAGACAGACAAGCGTTCACATCACTAAAGGTGTAACCATTAGGTAGGTGACTTAACCTCTCAGAACTTCAAGTTTCTTATAAAATGTAGGTAATAGTACTTTCCTTTAGGGTTTATTTTTTGAGGAATGGAGATAATATATGTAAATCATTCAGAGTGGTTTTTAATAGACAATACATAATGGCTATTATTAATCACAAGGGCTCAGGTATGTGTGTGTTTTCTTGTGGACCCATCAGGGTTTTCCAAGATTCCTACCTGTACCCAGCCAAGAATTTAGGGAGCAGGGGAAGCCTCTGGGATTTCATGTTGTCTTGGATATTGATTTCCATTTCTTCTGCTTTTCGATACCTTACAGCTGGATAAAAGTAAGAGAATGGTGACTAACTTCTAACTTTTTTCCTCAGTCCTCATTTTTACATTTTTTATTTACAATTTTTTTTGAGACAAGGTCTACCTCTGTAGCCCAGGATGGAGTGAAGTGACTCTATCATGGTTCACTGCAGTCTCAAACTCCTGGGCTGAAGTGATCCTCCTACCGTAGCCTTCTGAATAGCTAGGGTTACAGGCACATGCCACCATGCTCAACTAATTATTTTTAGTTTTTTGTAAATATGGGGGACTTGCTGTGTTGCCCAGGAAGACCCCCATATTTACAACTTTATTTACAGTTTGGAACTCCTGGACTCAAGCAGTCCTCCTGCTTTCGCCTCCTAAAGTGCTATGATTACAGGTGTAAGCCACAATGCCCGGCCCTTTAAGATCTGAAATACGAGCTGTTTACTGGACTTCATTAATATAAAAAACTAGGCCATTTTTCACTTTATCACTAATCAATTTACATTTTAATTGCCAAAATATCTAATTGAAAAGCTGTTGAAGAAAAAAGGGATCTTCTGTACCTGGATTTTACTGTTTACTAATTAAAAATTACCATTTGAACAACATCTTTTAAAGTCAGGTTTTCTTGATAAGTTTAATATTGTTAAAATTTATTAAATCTGGTATCTATAAATATAATTTGTGATCCTTCTCATACAACTGTTGACTTCATCTTTTATAAGTAGATTTCTGTAAAATCAACCACATTTTTTGAAGTTTTGGTGAGTATATTCTGACGTAACTTGCTTTCAGTTACCTACAGTTTAGATCTTAGAACTTTTCAGAAAATTTTTATGGGAATTGAGAGAAAAAATTCTGCAAATTGGCATTGAAACAGTGTTTTTATTTGCATAGTTGACTTCTTGTGTTTGGATGATAACTTTTGCCAAAGGCAATTTTGAGTAGATTTTTTCACAAAAGAATCCTATTTTAAAACTTTAAAGAATTTGTTTTCATTAAATCTAATCATTTTGTTATAAATGAATTCCATGGGTAAAGAATCTTTAACTTCATATACTTTAATACTTACATAAAATTAGATACATTAAAAGGTCAATGTTAATTATCAAAACTTAAATTTTACCTTGTTCAAATACAAAAGATTACTAAAGGCTTTAGGTTTTATAAGGCATATTATAACCTTAAAATTCATATCTTGAAAGAAACAGAAAGACACTTATTTAATGTGCATAGAGTTTATTTGGTACATCTATCAATTTCTACAATAACTGACCAGCAACAGTTCACACAGTGTCCACCTGCACTCCATGTCTAAAAGGATTTATTTAGTAGGGTATTTTGCAAGGTTAGAAAGGAGAGAAAGGATTTCACAGTATTGGTGAAAACTGTTTTATCATGAAACAAATGTAATACATTAATATATTCATTCATTCCCTATTAGAAAACAGCAAAATTA